TGTGTTTTCATTTTTTGGCCAAATTTATAAACTGAGACCGCTGATTTATAAATCAAAAATTTTACCAAACAAATTTTTATTTGAATTATTTAAATTTTTTATGATTTAAATTTTTTGAATATTTATTTTGATTTTTTACTTATTAAATTTTTTATATTATTTAAATTATTTAAATATTTATGATTTAAATTTTTTGAATATTTATTTTGAAAAACATTTACTTCCTTTGTAGTATTTTCAATTAAAAATTTGATTAATGTTATTTTCTGTTAATAATAAAAAATTTTAATTGAATTTTAAAAAGAGTTTGGTTATGAGTGTTGATCAGAATTTTCAGTAGTGTGAAAGTAATGTGTTTTGTTATGAGTTATAATAATTTGAATTAAGTTTTGAAAACTCTTTCCAAAACTTATAACTAACAAATTTTCTTACTTCACATGTCAAATCAAACTTTCAAAACTCAATTGCACGCTCTAATTCAAAATTCAATTCAACACTCTATTCAAAAATCATAACCAAACAAATTTTCTACACTCAAATCATAATTTCAAAACACACAAACTCAAAATACAACTCATATTCTCAAATCATAGTTAGAAAGTCTGACTAAACAGAGCCATAATTCTTTTAGATTAATTGGTGAAAAGTTTATTTTTTGGAAAAATTAGTCTAAAGTCTCTGTTCTATTTTTAGTAACAGAAGAAATTCACAAAATTATTTTACGATGTCTAGGGTCACTCAACTCTACACACATATATCACAGAGAAATTTGACTCTTTTAAGCACAAAACTTGATACAAAACAAATCACAAAAAATGCGAAGTTCTTGTTTTCGATCATCGAGATCACTCCACTATTAACGCCACTCAATCCTCCTCCCCTTAGAGTTGTATTTCCACTCGTCGGACTCAGCGCCAGAAACTCAGCGCAGAGTTGTACTGTTACTCTATGAAGTCTTCACCAAAATCCAAAGTTGCCTTAGCATTCAGATTCGTCGGCTGGAACTCATGCTTGACTGCAAAAGTCATTTGTTATAAAGCCGCCGACCTGCCAAACCTTATTTGTTGACAAGCTATTTGCAGACAATGTGAGAGTCGCAACGATTTTCATCGTTCTGCTGGAGTACTCGGCGTTCTTTTTGGGGACTTCGAAGGTGATCTTCGATTGGACAATGGAGCTGTAGGAGTTGATATTGTATGTGTTGACTGATATTGAGTCGTTGGATTGCTTGAGGGCAACGAAAGCTTGTGCGCCGGCCATGCCGGTTCCGGTGGGGCTGAGGGCTCAAGCGATCCAACCATCAGGTTTGGGCAGAGGAACGATGAAGGCGATGGAGAGAAAGGAAGGTCCAGTAGAGGTAGGCGCTCAAATAAGGTAGGTCTCTAGTTTGTTCAAATTTCTCTGGGTGGTTATTGTTTAAATGTCTTACAATTCATAGAAAATTGATTAAAATGAAAATGATGGTTGTTCAATTTTCTTTTGTTTGATAAAAAACACAGAGAAAATTATGAACAAATCAGAGAAAATTAATTAAAATACAGATAAATTTTGATAAATTTTCTAGGGAGCCTAGAGAAATTCTCTGAATCAAATTTTCTCTTGATTGATGTTGAAGGATCTTAAACATTATGAAAATATTAAATATTTTTTATATTATAAAATTTTAATATCAAGAATTTTAAATTGAAAATCCCTATTTCAAACTACGCAAACTTGCATGAAAATTTACTCCTTAGTCAAAGTAAAAATTTGGAATAAAATAGGTCCATTAACTGAGCTACAAAAATTAATATAGTTATTATTTTGGAGGAGTTTTGAAAAATTATTACATAATAGTAAAAAAAAATATAATTTTAATTATAAACATTCATGAAAAAAAAATTTTTTTTATAATTTTTTTTTTCTAGCACACTGGGGCACTTTGGGAAGAGGTTAAAAAAGTCAGCTTTCGAACTTTTTAGCTTTTTTAGCCAAAGAAACTAGTTTTTTTGGCCAAAAAAGCCACCAAAAAAGATAAAAAAATTAAAAAATTGACTTTTTACCAATTTTCCAAAACATCACACTATGCTGTGTAATTCTCCCATAAAATTATATAATCACAGCGTCATCACAACCACATCATTTTGTTTTATGTTATGACTGACCACCTAAAATATAATTAAACTTACATTTTTATTCCAATTATATTTGATGGTATGATTAAAGTTAATATATTAATAGTTGTATGACAAATGTTAACAAATGCCTCTCATGCATTGTTTAATGTTGGGATTAATGTAAAAAATATTTTAAAAATAGTAAAAAAGTAAAAAAAATGTATTAAATTGAGTGAAAAGTGCTAGAACTAAGGAAAATGCTACGCAACCGCACATATTATACGAACTCAATTTATGGACTGACATGACAGATACATGTCATTGTACTGTGGGTCCACCACAGATGATAAAGCATTCTCTTACTGAGGGGACCTTTTGGGAACAATGGTAAAAAAAATAGTTTTTTGACTTTTTAATTTTTTTAATCAAAAAAGTAAGTTTTTTAACCCAAAATAATCCAATTTTTTGTCAAAAAAGCCACCAAAGAAGTCAAAAAGTCAAAAAATCAACTTTTAACCAACTTTTCAAAACACCACTTAGAGCAAGTCCAGCTGTGGTGCACAATACACAACTCCTCATCTCTCATTCTCACCCTCTCTCTCTCTCTCTCTCTCTCTCTCTCTCTCTCTCTCTCTCTCTCACACTCTCACAAGACCAGGAAGTCTTAGTCCTTTTCCTTTGGCAATCTTGGCCCTCTTCATTTCACTCGTCGGTGACGCCGCGCCTTGTCCCAAGATATTTTTGAACGCCCTTCTCGGTCTCCCTCTTCCTCAGACGATCTTGGCTTGTGATCTCGCCCCTCTTAGTCTCACCCTCACAAAACCCTAACACAAATCTCTAAATTTGTTTCTTAATTTCACACTCCAGCCCTCTAAATCTCTATTTATATAAATAAAAAAAAATCAATTTGCAGAGTGTATCACAACAACAAAATACACTTTTGGCGACTAAAAATTTAGTCACCAAAAGCATCGATTTTAGTTGCCGAAATGCTTTCCCAACCAAAAATTTTGGTCGCTGGCTTTGTCGCGGGTACATTGTCGGCGAAAGTTTTGGCGACTAAAATAAATTTATTCGCCAAAAGTCCAACAGAATGGTGACTAATATTTTAGTAGGCAAAAGTAGCAGTATTAGCGACTAAAAGTGGACTAGTCGCCCAAAGGGTACATCAATTCATTTAACTCACATCTTCAGCTACTAAATATTTTGTCGCCAAAAAATTCAATGATCTACGGCGACGAAATTAGTAGTCGCCAATAGTGTTATTTTAAACTACTAAATGTTTTGTCGCGGAAAGGTTTGTTTAGCTACTACAGAATTTAGTCGCCTATGACATAGAGTTTATGTTTTGGCGACTATTAGTCGCCAAAAAGTGTTTTGAGTTTTAGCTAGTAAAAAATTAGTTGCCAAAATTGTTTTCAATTCGTTTTGGCTACTAAAAAATTAGTCGCTAAAAGTGTTTTGAGTTTTAGCTACTAACCAATTAGTCGCCAAAACTATTTTCAATTCACTTTTGACTACTAAATATTTAGTTGCCAAAAGATTTATTTCTTTTTTTGGATACCAATTGTTTTGTCACCGAAAACGTCATTTTTTATTTTTGTTTTGTTTTTTTCATTTTAATAAATTTTTTCACAACCTGTATATATCCACCGCAACCTATAATAAGTATACAAACAAATCAATATATATATTATCACCTATTCCGTAATGCATGTTTCACTTACAAAAAAAAAAAAAAAAAAAAAAAACCAATTAAAATAAAAAAACATTTACATAGCTCAACAAAACTATACTACATTTTAACTCTAACCCAAAACTCAACTCACTAGAACAGCCAACTCAAACCATTAAAGAACTAGAACGCGGGTAACTCTGACGCGGCCGCGCACAGCTAATCGAATCTTCCACCGCGAGGCCTTGTGCACCGAAACAGAAATACTGATTAATCAACTTTTTATTTAACGGAGAAGAGTGTTTGCGATTGATTCGCAATTTTTCACTATTAATTGAATGACTTGATCCGGGGGATTCTTCAATTTCATTTCCAGTGTCCACACCCTTGTATTTGTCGATTGAGATAGGCGAAGACACGGATGATTCAGAAAAAGTACTCGAAGGCGATCTAACAGATAGATGTGGCATGGCTTGAATGACACCGTGCATTAGCCTCGCTGCAAATTTCTTTTTCGTGGAAGGACTTGGAAGACTATTTCTTACCGGGATCACCCTTTGGTTGCTTGATATAGCCATTTGTTGGGAGAATCTTTGCCGAAGCGTTGTTGGACTTTCTTCCAAGTTTCTACCCATCTTGTACGGTTCTTTAGAATCATCGCCTTTTTTTTCTTTTTTGGGCCAATGAAGGAGAATCTTTAGCCGCATTGCAGCGTTATTCACAGAGCTGGATTTCCTACAATCCAATGAGTTATACGTGGTGGGAGAATTAAAATTACTAATTTCACTCAAGCAAGACCCGTATTCCGTAGGATCATCAAAAGTGGCAGCCTCACTTGCATTCTCAATACCCGTATACAAAAAAATCTCAGCATCGGGGATTCTGAATGAAGTCCCGGGGCTTCCCCCAATACCCTGCATTTTCAGATGGGAAACGAGAGCGTTTCTCGCCATGTAATCCTGACAGTTGGATATCCCTCCTGCTGATATCAACTGTTTGATCAGAATGTCAGAAGAAGCTGTTCGCGGCCTTTGCTTGAGGAGATCGAGTGGGGTCAACCCATCAGCATCGCGGATGTTCAAATCAATTGAAGGGACGGTCATGAGAAGTTCTACAAGATTTGACTGAAAGTTGTCGTTGACTGCCATGTGGAGGGCGGTTCTTCCATCGTTGTTTTGTACATTGATGATGTCATGCATACTCACAAGCTTTTCACTGACTAACTGTTTAATGAGCTCGATTTGGCGGTCAAGTCGTCGGAAACCGGGGGCTCGGAAACCAGCCACAGCCATATGAAGGAAAGTGTCTCCATAATTGTTGGTTATGGAGGTGATTGACTGAGATGCTGAAATTAGAATCTCTACCACAGGCAAGTATCCCCTGTATGCAGCCACATTTAATGCCGTGCTCCCTTGATTATCCGTCGAGGCAATGATGTCGTAGGATGATAGTAGATCTTTGACTACCTGCATTGTTGAAAAGATTGATTAAACAAAAAATACAGAGACATGGTTTTAAATCATCGATCCAGTCATCTATTAGTCAATATTTGAAGTATCATAAGTTTAAAAACCCGATATGTAACAGGTGATACAATACGTAACGACTGATTCTGTGTTTACTGTTATAGTTCTACCACCAAATTATTTGCACTCCAAAACGTCAAAATAGGGGCATTCAAAAATGGGAATTTCAAAGTTCAAAACCTGTCTAGGAACAACGGAAGCTATGCTAATGGAACAGGAAAAATTATCCGATACTATGGATCCCAAGAGGTCAATTGCTTAGGAGTCGCACTCTGTCCTGTTTGGTGGACAAAATCTTTTCTCCTTTTAAGAATTCTTTATCCCACACACAGTTCATCTAGTTGGCCAACACATTTACCTTACAAACATATTCAACTAAACCCAAGTAAAATCAAATTGGAGCAATGACATCTCCATCATTTTTCACAAATCTAAGACTATTGAAATCTTCTGTTTATATCAGTCACATAGCTGCACTTCAAATTTTAATAAAATAATACAAAAGGGACATTTTGTGGACATGGCAAGATCATACAAAACTGCCAGCCTTACGCTGTGTTTGGTTGGTGGATTTGGGAAGGGAAATAGAAAGGGAAATGAAAATGAAAAGAAAAGGAGAAAAAATTAATAGAATTCCAAATCCCAACTATGTTTGGTTGTGTTGGTTATAAAATAGAATTGATGTCCTAAAAGGTATCCTATTTCTTTATTTAGCAATGACATCTCCATCATTTTTCACAAATCTAAGACTATTGAAATCTTCTGTTTATATCAGTCACATAGCTGCACCTCAAATTTTAATAAAATAATACAAAAGGGACATTTTGTGGACATGGCAAGATCATACAAAACTGCCAGCCTTAGGGGAAGGGGGTTGGAGCTGAGAAAATATGGACAAATTACAAAATATCATTGCACGGACACAAAGTCACGTGATGTTCTAAACCCATGTGACCGTTTCTGCTGATCGTGGGGCTTGGCCATCAGCGCATACAAAGGGGCTTTAAGTAACCACAAAATAGTTGAGGGTGTCTCCTATTCTATCCGATTTGTGCATACGGCACGTTTACGATCCGATTAGTGTTGTATTTCTTAATATATAGTATGGGTTATTTTGGGTATTAGAGTTATGTGAGTTAAGACAACTGCTTCTTGTATTTTCTCCTTTTTGTTAATAGTAATATTACAAACTCAGAATTATCTACCTAAAATTTACTCAGAAACAACGATCAATGGTTCAAATTTATTTTAGTTGTGGACCCTACACTTAATCAATTTAATCTCCACCTCATATACTCAATCTGGATAAAATCTGGGTCCCTAATTCTGGGATCCCAGACTTTACTTTCGCTAATGAAACCCTCTACCCATTGCTGCCGGTGGACGTAGCCTAAGCCAAACCACACAAATCTGTTTTCTTAATTGCTCTGTTTTTACCTTTTCATTTTCGTTTGTTCCACCATAATAAACCAATTTTAAGAAATAAACAAGACTAAAGTAGAGCAGAGAACTGATACGAAAATGTATAGAGCAATACATACTCACCTCAACCTGGCCTCTCCCAGAGGCAGAGTGCAAAACAGTAGATCCCTGAGCATCTCTATAAACCAAAACATCCTCACAATCCCCCAAAACCTCTCTCAAAACCTCCACATTCCCTCCCCTCGCCGCCGCATGAACCGCCCTATTCATCATCTCCCACCTAAAAACCGCGGACACCTCCTCCGGCTGCCGCCCCTCCCCCTCCTCCTCCACCCCATCACCACCATACAAACACCTCTGAGCAACAGCCAAATCAAGAAGCATCCTAAAAACCCCAGAATTCTTGCTCCTTGCCGCCGCGTAAAGTATATCAGTAACACCATACTCTCCTTCCCCAAACACAAGCAATGGGTCTCTCTCAAGCAATTCTCTCACAAAGCCCACATCTCCGGCGGCTGCGGCGGTGTAGAGGAGCCAGCCGCCGTAGCCTGCTCTGATCAGAGAGTTTCCTCTCTCGGATTCACAATCGGAGAGTAGGTTTTGGGCCACCGTGGAGCGGCATTTGGCGGCGGAATTGAGGTGGGTTTCGTCGTCCCAGACGGTTTCGAGGCGGCGGATGCGGCGGAGGGAGGTGAGTTTGATGAGGAGGTTGGAGTCTAGGTGGAGGAGTTCTCTCACTAGATCGTAGTGGCCGTTGGCGGCGGCGAAATCGATAGGAGATGCGTACCACCACTGGTCTCCGGTGCTCTCCCACCTTAGAGGGAAGTATGTGGATGGCTGCATTGATTGAGCCTTAAAAAACCCTAAAGAAAAAACAAGAATTGGATTCAATTTGAGTGAGTTTGAGCTATCAGATTCAACTTTTTCAACAAGAATGGAATTAAAGATTCATAATAGAACAAAACCCAGTTTGGGATTGTTTAAAGAAACACTCACTTTACTTTTCAAGATTCAATAAAAAAACAAAATTGGACACAGTTTGAGTGATTTGAGCAATGAGATTCAACTTTTTTGAGAGTGATGTAATCAAAGATTGAATATAGAACAAAACCCAGTTTGGGATTTTTTTTTTTTTTAAAGAAACGTTCACTTTACTTTTTCAAGATTCATAAAAGAAACTAGAATTGGGCGGAGTTGAGTGATTTGAGCAATGATTGAAAATAGAACAAAACCCAGTTTGTGATTTCTTTAAAAGAAACACTCACTTTACTTTTTCAAGATTCATAAAAGAAACAAGAATCGGATAGAGTTGACTGGTTTGAGGAATGAGATTGAACTTTTTGACAGGAATGTAACCAAAGATTGAAAATAGAACAGAAACCAAGTTTGGGATTATTTAAAGAAGCACACTTTACTTTAGAGTTGTTTTAGATGGGAAAGTTTGGGTAATCCAAAAAGAGATCTAAAAAATGGAATTAGGAAACTGAAAGGATCATGGTGTGAGATTCAGAGTATTTCACAAAAGGGTATTTTAAGAATGAAACAAAACAATGAAACAGAGAGAGAGAGAGAGAGAGAGAGAGAGAGAGAGAGAGAGAGATGGAAATGGGAAGATGAAGAAAACCCAGAAGAGACTAAGCCATGAACAAGTGGAAAAGGAGGGAAAAGACAGAGGGAAGGAGGCTAGAGATGATGATAACTGTATTTTGGAGATGATAACAAAAACGAAAAGGACCACTTGTTTTTCTGGATTTTTTGTGAGTTTATTTATTTATTTATTTATGGTGGAGAGAAAAATTAGGAAAGAAAATAAAATCTAAGAAAGTTACCTAAGATTCCTTCATCCGTGACAGACCAACGAAGAGAGGGAGAGATGGACTGATGATGAGTAAGCACTTTTTTCGGTTGTCTGAAGAAGCTTTAATGACAATTGTTTCAGTTTCCCACACACGAATCCCTGGGAAAGAGAGAAGCTATCAGCTGAAAGATTGATAAACTTTAGTGGGTAAATTACATATATTATCCCTTTGTTTACATAAAATTACATATATTATCCCTTTGTTTACATAAAATCTCATTATGAACCTAAATATTGCCTTTTCGATCAAGTTGGGGGATCTTTAACGTTTTACTCAAATTTTTATTAAATTTGATAAAAAAAACTTGATCTGATATCGTCCATGTCAACGGAGCGATTTGAAATTTTATCAAACCACCAAACGTCTGGAGAGGACGACTTGCAGGTTGATCGGTTAGTATAAATTTTTTAAAAAATTTTGTAAAGAGATGGTCAACCGGGAGACAATTGGAGGATATTCGACCGGTCGTTCAGTACTCAAGAGCTAACGGCTCTTTACAGTAATTTAGTAAAAAGTTCCAGCATCCTCAATTTGATAAAAAATTTGAGATATCTTCAATTTGATGAAACAAAGATGAAGCGTTAAAGCATTAGTTTTGTATAATTTTTCATCAAATTTAAATTTGATGAAACAAAAGATGAAGGATTGGAGATGGTGTTAAAATGTGATTTAATTGATTTTTTGTTAATAAGGCATTGTTGGAATTGATTATTTTAATTAAATTTTTATATAAAAAAATTGTGAAAAAAAAAAATTGATGTGATAACTTATAGTAAATTTTTGACTTAAAATCAAAATTTCTAAATGAGATCTAAATTAAAACAAATAGTAATATGACGATTATAGTTGTCACATGTCTATATTTTGTTAATTATTTGAACGTGATGTAACTTGTTAAGAAGTGTAAAATTGATTATTACAATGAAAAACAGAAGGGTGAAATTAGATTTCATGCTGAGTGTACAAATGTTAAGTACACTAAAGCCTCGTTTGAGAATAAATTATTTTAGTAATTTTTTAATTTTTTGTTAAAATATGAGATAAAAAAATTAATATGTTTAAAATAACTTTTTAGTTTTTTATGAAAAGATATACAAAAAATAGAAAGAAAAGAAAATATTTGACTTTTTGATATAAGTTATAGGTTTTTTAATTTTTTTTTAATTACTTTTTGATTTTTAAGTTAAAATAAGCACTTGTCAAATGAGGTCTAAATTTATGTTGTTTGAACATTAAATATCAATTAGTGTACTAATCGATTCTTCAGCTAGATATAATATCTAGTAAGGCTTATGTTAAATGATAAAATCTATATGAATGTCGTATGTTTTAGTTGGTGTGTAAGTTAATATATTAATTAGTGTTTGTTTATAGTATCACTCATTCCATTTACACCTGTTAAATTTTTGTCCTACAGTCGTAGTTGACAAGAACAGTTAAAAATAAAAAAATAAAAAAAATCATAGTTAACAAGATGTGAGGAGACAAGTTTGAAGATAAATTGGACGTGTAATTGGGTAGCAGTGATGGGGATAATGTCAATGGGGACAACGGACTTTTAAACATATCTTATTTTTTAGATTATATCTTTAAGTAAATCAGTGATTTTCTCTAGATCTTATTTTTGTTGTTTAGTTAGAATGGCCCTTTGGAATCTTGATTATATACTGTTATTGTCTTTTATTAATATAATGTTTCCTATGTTCTGGAAAAAAAAAAAAATTAATGTAGTATTTGGTTAGGGGATTTGAGAAATGATTTGGAAAGGCAAAAGGAAAATGTATGTGAAATTATGTGAAACATAAGTATATTTTATTTACATTTTACTTATCTTTTTTATTTTTCTTTCCAAATCCCTTCTCAAAGCCTCAATCAAACACACTTTAAAGAAATGAGTAATGCTATATGCAATAATTGATATACTAATTAGTATACTAACAGATGATGTAGTATAATTTTAGACGTTTTGAATATTTGTAGTTTGTATAATGAGTGTGATTATAATTTTAAAATAATATATGTTAATACACTAATTGATATATTAATTAATACATGTAATATTATTGAAAAGAAATTACTCACTCATATTTTTGTATGAAACCAAGGGTCATTGGTATAATGAAGAAAAACAAAAAAATCCCTGGATCAACCAGGCTCAACACTCGAGTTTAATTCTCGAAATCCTCTTCTCTTATTCTCGTCCTCCAAATAAAAAATAAAAATAAAAAATGGGTATGAAGGATTTAATATTTCCACATTGTATCATTTGGGGGTTGCTGAATTAAATTATAAACCAAACTCTGGGTTTCCAAGACTTGAAGACTATTGCTTCTAATCTAGTCTAGTAAAGTTTGGGTCATAGAGAGTTAATTAAAGAAATTCACAACCCACATGCAAAGTTTCAAGGGAATATAATCCAATTTATTAGCTTTTGTTTGGCTAATTTAGTTGGACTAAAAAAACACAAAAGACAAAATAAGCTAAATAAGTCAATAAAACAAAACGTTATATTCAAATTATAATCATTTCACTTTTTCTCTCACAAAAGTCAAACCAAACGAACTTTTTAATCCTAAACTAAAAAAGTCTAAACTCAAAAAAGTCAACTAAAAACAGTTAATGCCAAACCGCGACTTAGTGAATTGAGACTTTGTATGCACCTATAAACTTTATGACATTTTTTTTTCCTTTTCAAATATACACACATACATAAGTTATCTAAGTCCATGAATCTTGGTCTTATTGAGTGATATGTGTAATCAGTTTCAATAATTAAAAAAAAAAATTGTCTTAGAGGGTTTGATCTAGTAATAAATGGAGTCGTGTAGTAAGTATGATTAGTTTTAATGGTAAATAAAATTAAGAAATCCACTTTTTCTAAAAGAATTCTTGATTTTGTCTGAATTTATTAGTTATCAATTTATGACTAGATTTTTTTGTTATCCCAAAAAAAAAAAAAATTTATTTAATTATTTTTACAAAGAAAAATTTATATGTGAATTATGCATATTCACCAACACATTTATTATTATTATTATTAATATTATTGTGGGATGATGATTAGTCCCTTCTTCCCTTTGTGTAGCATTTCTTTTCTTATAAATGCAATGGGCTGGCATTTTATCATTTCTTATATGATTTCCTTTAGTTTCCATGCTCTTTCGTAACCACTAGGCACATGGCAATTATGTTCTATTATTGACTCAATTCCACTAACTTATGACAAAAAGGAGAGAGAGAGAGAGATAAGTGTTTTTTTCTTCTTTTCTTCTTTTTGTTTTTGGATTCAATGGAAAGAAGTTCTTGTTCAAAAAAAAAAAAAAAAACAATCTTAATGTGCATGACCAATACAAAAAAAAAAAAAAGTAAGTTGTGCACTAGTAGGACTAAAAAGTGAATATAATGAAATTATTGCAAGTAATTGACCCCAACTGTTTTTTTTTTCCTTCTCTTCTTTTTGTTTTTGGATTCAATGGAAAGAAGTAAGTTGTGCACTAGTAGGACTAAAAAGTGAATATAATGAAATTATTGCAAGTAATTGACCCCAACTTAGGGTATTTTCAAGAGTTGGAATGTAAAAAAAAATACCACTGATGGACGAAATGTGTGTAGCTTGAAATAATAAACCACAACCTCATAATTCACCTACAAAAATTTCTTTGAAAAAACAATATGCTATTTATATTCAACTTTTATAGGATGAAATTTATACTTAAATTGAATTGATGTCATATATTTTTTATCGATATTTTTCTCTGCATAGATATTTTGTTTGTACAATTTTCATCTATTCAATTTCAATGTAATAAGTAACACGTTTGATGTTTAGACAATATTTGGTGAGAGTTTGGTTTCCAATCATGATTTTCTTATTATGATTTTATTATACTTTTTATGACAACAAGACACGTTGAAAAGATAGATAATTCAATGGTTCAAGTAAAACATAAGTTGCAAAATTATTACAGTAAAATTATCACAAAGAGATGTATTGCAAAAAATTCTGATCCCATTGGTGAACCAACTTGAAAGCTTGTGAGTAGCTAGCTAATGACCCTAGCTTATATGATACCAATATCATTTTGCAATATACAATCTTTCAAAGTACCTCTTTGAGTTTCTTATTTCTTTATCTTTTCTTTATTTTTTGGGTCCATTAATATATGATTTGTTTAGGTGGGGGTGGTGACATGAAATCACTAATAGTGGTGTATCTAAAAATGGGTAGTAACATACATTATTTGTTGTGGACAACTAATAGTTAGGGACATGCAACCATTGGATCCCTATAGCAATTTGCCCCCACACTGTCTCTCTGTCCTTCATAAAAGCTCACACATATATATATATATGACCATATGAATCAAGCCAAAAGCTGGTGTTATAGAATCAAAATCATACGCAGTGCATGGACTGTAGTACCCTCCATAATGCTTCAATATAAAAACAGCATCATTTTGGGGCAAAAGGAGAAGAGAAAAGGGGAATGTTTTGTTCTATTTTGGGACATTATACGGTGCAGTTTATGCAATGCACTACAAAGGATCCAAATTTAATTTTATGGGTTCAGAAGTGACTCAATTATTAGGTTATTTAGCTTGTAGCCTAGAACCTACCAATTTTTTTTATTTTTTTATTTTTTTATTGTTGAAGGCTCCAATTTCTTATAGCCACAATAAGATAAAACCTCATTTTAATATATATAGTCTAAAGTTTCAAAAAATCTTGAGCAACTACTGAAAGCATGGGTTGTACATTAACGACATTGTGTAACTTTTCTCTAATTGGTAATCTTAATTAAATAGTACTGTTGAGTTTCCGTCCCCCCATCACAAGATCCAAATAAATATATTGACTAATAAATTTTAGTGGTTGCTGGCCATGAACTTAA